AAAAAAAAAAAAAAGTAATCTGATTAATCTTGAGTTTCGGTAAAAACACTGACAGGTTTTTTTTTTTTTTTCAGGCATGGGAACTGAAGTCCCAAAGGGAGGACTTTATCAGCGACACAAGGTCAACACAGAAGGCGTTACGCACACGGAGTCACAGATTTCAGGTTATTGATTATAAAGCTCTAATCAATGAGGAATGTGTGAGTGTGGGAAATGACATAACCCAGCTGTTTGCAGGGGAACCAGAAAAACCTCCTCATGACGTCCAGGGACACCACTCAAACTTTCACATTCACATCACTGACAACTTCCTTCCATAATTCCTTAAATCTTTTTTCTTTTTATCGATTGTTCACTTTCTTTGACAGGAATACGGAAACAACATAACGCTTCCTGGAATGAGCAGTTTCCAGAATATGCTTGGTACCTGACCTTGTGAAAAACTCATATATGAAAGTCTGAGAATACTACTTTTTTCCAACCTGAAAATAAATGTGTTTTAGATTTTAGAGGAAAAAAAAGTTTTAAAAATGTGAAATTTAAAATAATGATGTTATTATTATACACTACCAGTCAAATGTTTTGAACAGTAAGATTTGTCATGTTTTTTTTAAAGAATTCTCTTCTGCTCACATTTATTTGATCCAAAACACAGCAAAAGCAGTAATATTGTGAAATATTTTTACTATAACATTTCTATTTGAATATTTTTTTTTAAATGTAATTTATTAATGTGCTCAAAGCTGAATTTTTAGCATCATTACTCCAGTCAAATCATCCTTCAGAAATCATTCTAATATTCTGATTTGCTGCTCAAAAAACATTTATTATTATGTTGAAAACAGCCGAGTAGAATTTTTTCAGGTTTCTTTGATGAATAGAAAGTTCAGAAGAGCAGCATTTACCTGAACTAGAAATCGTTTGTAACATTATTAATGTCTTTATCGTCACTTTTGATCAATTTAAAGCAACCTTGCTAAATAAAAATATTATTATAATCGGTATAATTTATAATTTTATTATAAATTATTATATTATAATTAAGTAGTATAGTGTATAGTTACTAAAGCTTTTTTCAGATAAATGCTGATCTTTCTTTTCATCAAAGAATCCTGAAAAAAAATGTACTCAACTGTTTTAAATATTGATAATAATAATAATAAAAAAAAAATGTTTCTTGAACAGCAAATCAACTTGATTAGAATGATTTCTGAAGGATCATGTGACACTGAAGACTGGAGTAATAATGTTGAAAATTTAGCTTTGATCACAGGTATAAATTACATTTTAAAATATATTCAAATAGAAAGCTGTTATTTTAAATAGTACAAATATTTCACAATATTACTGCTTTTGCTGTATTTTGGATCAAATGAATGCAGGCTTGGCAAGCAGAAGAGAATTCTTTCAAAAACTTTGACTGGTAGTGTAATTACAACAACAATTTATATTGAAATATTAAATGATTAAATTTGAAAAATGCAAAATAGAAGCATCTCTATCTTGATCTGTCCCATTTCAGGTCTCTTTATTCCGCTTTACAATTCAGACATTCATTCCCTCCTTCCAAACCATCCCCCCTTCACCGTGTGCTCTGTAAAGTCGACAGCTCGCTCTCCACACTTAGATGTAATTCAGTCTGTCCTCGACTCCTCTCTGTTCCTGACTGACCCCCTCTGACGACACTATAGCCAACAGGGGACAGACGACACCTCATAAAAGACCTCTGTCTTTCTTCCTGTCCTTCTGCCTGCTTATACACACTTCTTGAAACTTCAGGAGAAGTATTAATAACATTTCACTTCCAAAACAGGCACCACATTCCTTGCAGTTTATGAAAGGAAATAGTCTTACATATATTTAGACATGAACATCTCTTGCCAAAAATGTCTTTATCTATGGTGAAATCCTATATACCATTGTTTAACACCTAAAACATTATGTTTAATGCTTACAATACCTCGTATCTCAATTGTGATTGCAAAGCATGCTACCGATTCACGACGGCCACTCCCATTCTGATAATTCTAGAATATGAGCTGTTGTTATGGTGATAACAGCCAGGCCTTGTGGAGCGTCACAGTGAGATCCACCCCTGGGTCAAAGGTCAAACCCACCCTGGACAAATAGAGCTGCTCTATCTTCATGTCTGACTTATCTCAAGGACTAGCACACACACACACACACACACACACACAGGTTACTGTTGCTATTAGACAGATCTACTGCATATCCAACCCACAGAACATCCAGAAGAATTTCATTTCACTAAACATTTTCTAACAGTATTTATCTTTTAATACAGCATACATTTGAGTACTACACTACCATTAAAAAGTTTGTTTCTGACATAAGTCTTTTATGCTCATTAACACTGTATGTATTTGATCAAAGACAGTAAAAACAGTAATACTGTGAAATCTTATTACAATTTACAAGAACTGTTTTCCATTTGAATATATTTTAAAATCATCTCAAGTCTTCTTCAGTGTCACATGATCCTTCACAAATGTGGTGCTCAAGAAACTTTTGATCTTTTTTTCAATATTCTTGATAAATAGAAAGTTCAAAAGATCAGCATTTATTTTAAAAAAGAAAACTTTTGTAACATTATGTCTTCCTTGTCACTTTAGATAACTTTAATGCATCCTTGCTGAATATAAGTATTCATTTATTTCAAAAAACAAAATCTTACTGACCCCAAACTTTTAAACAGAATTGTGTCTTTAAAAAAAAAAAACCTGCTTTACTGCATGATAAAGCAGAAGTTCTTGTCGCCAGGTCAAATTCCTTGTGTGTGTGTAAACATACTTGGTAATAAAGCTCTTTCTGACTTCTGACTTCTAATAATATTTGGAAAAACTTATTTCAGCCAACTCATAAAACTCATGTAGTGCAACATGAAAACAGAACAAAAACAGTAAATGATATTATAAGGAAGACCCCTCATAAAATATGACTTTTATTCAGAAGGCAAGGTAAGTTCAAGTAAAATGTCATGTGCTGCACCTCCTCAAAAACATGATATTTATGACTGAATAATTCATGATATCTGTAATAGAAAAATACAATACGTTTTCACGTTTTCATAAAAATAAGGAAAATGTGTTATAACTTTGTACTTGATTGTTACACCAAATTAAACTGATGTCACTAAAACTGATTTTCTTTCAACTTTCTGAAACTTTATGAACATGAATTCAAAGTCAAACTACATATCAAAGAATGGCACGTGTGTTTTAAACTAGATTTTTTAAACTCTCCTATTTGTCATTGATCTTTTGCCAAATCGACCCACACGTTAACCATTTAACAGGATTTTACTGTAGCATTTTTACATTCTTTTACCGTTAAATTCACGGTCATTTTTTACAGTGCAGCAGTGTGTGTGAATGCCTCTTACCTGGCAAGCAAGACAGCAGTCAGTCACAAATGTATGGGCAAACAAAAGCATGCACAACCACACACTTAAAGCACACACTTCAAACAAGCGTGCAGAGAGCCACGACTCCCGCACTGCCCTGTAACCACACAAGCATCCGGGAAGCAGACTGAGCTGTCACACACTCACATCATGTGCATACAGCACTG